ATACAACGAAAGGAGACTGCGACCACACAAAAGGCCACACCATCTTGGTCTTCATATCTTCGATAAAAATGCTACTCTTTATTATTTGCCTGTTATTTACCTCGTCTGAAGCTGTAGATACGATGTCCTGCAAAGGCAAGTCACAAAGAAGCTAGATGCACTTTACAGGAAATTATTCAGTTTTACAGAAGGGTGCCACATGCTTTATTTTGGCGATATGCCACTAAACTATTATCTAACTTTGATTCCCTCATGCTTTGAGCAATATGGTCTGTATTAGGATTTGAAACCTCACGATTTACGAGCTCCACATTTTTATATCAACCAATTTAGTCTACCTAAAATGTTGCAGACAACTCTTTCCAGTCATTTAAGGCCAGCGCCATTTCGTTTGTTATTTGCTTCTACATAACTCCTAATCACGATGGCACTTCCTAACTTTAATTTAGTTTAATATTTCCTAGATAGGCTAAAGCCTGGATATATATTTTTTCCATAATTTCAACGGATGGGGCTTATCAATTTACACTTCACTATTTGCTCAAAGGAATTGAATAGACTAAAAAATAGCATATTTGCATATATTATGTTTCCCTTCATCCTAATGTAGCAAAATTCGATTTGCTTTGGGTTCAATTGCAAATTACTTTATTTTTCATTTTTTTAAGTAGGTTCATCACCTTAACGAAATAAGGTGAATGCATTTCACTAATAAATTTGCTTTTTCCTTTGCAGCATCTTATTTCGTCTCAGCATTTGTGTCGGCTTCTTTTCCATCTTCGTCTATCTCTCTCTGTTTCCATTTGTTTGGGGACTACTTTTGGGTATATCGGGAACTATTTTATCCATATGGCTCTACTCTTGGCTCACTCATTTAGACACTTGTCAATCTAGAATGAGTGATATTTGCATCTTGTCTGGTGAACCAGTCAGTTCTCTCTGCTGCTCTGTGCATCAGGCTGCATCTTCCCGCACTACGAACCACTTCGGCCCGTCTTACATGGAATGGTGGCCGCCTTATGCTCCAGCCATCCTTCCAATGGGTTCTTCTCTCAACATTAGGCAGCTACCATCCTTGAATGTACCACATATTGTGGATGAGGATCCGGTGACAGGAGCCTCCAGCGGACCTCTGTCATCTGGCCTTGGCTTTAAGCTAGGGCCAAATAATCGACCAATTTATAAAGGCTGGCTTAATGAGGCAAGCCATCTTTAATCCCATTAGGATATTTCATGTTTTCAATTAGCATATTTTTATCATTACACAAAATTATTAACTATCAGTTATACAAGTGATTTGACCTCATTTTCGCAACTTGGTCGTGCTGTCAGGGCGACATAGTTGGATGCACTTCCTCCGAGGTCCTCTGATATAGCAGTTATGATTATTCCCAGCGTTGGACCATGGACTTGTTACATTTAAAGACTTAACTAACGTATAAATGAAGTGTATTCACCCTATTTCATTTAAGCTAATCAGAGGACTAGTAGTTAAATTTTTTAATATTGATATGAATGGACTTTGCGTTTCTATTTAGCTTCACATAACCTTGCTCTCCCAAAAAGTATTCTCACTCAGGGTAGACTGCACTTTCGACTTCGTCTAAGTCTTGTCAACATCTCCGGCGGGATTCGAACCATAACAGAACCCACTTATATCAATCGAAAGGAGACTGCGACCACACCAGAGGCCACAACATCTTGGTCTTAATACATTACAGTACAGTTTGTAATCTCGACGCGTTAACCACTACACTACATTTAAACGAGTGCCCTAGGGTGAATGTGAATTTTAGGTAGGTCAGGAATTTTTCCCATATCGCATTTTGTGGTAGGATTATGAGGGCTGCTTTGAACGATGTTTATATAGTGTTGGTTTGACCTCGTTTACACAACTTTTTCAGGTTGTTGGGGAGACCTTGCGGAACGTACCTAGTCATGAGTCCCCTGCCATAGTATTAATGATTTCCAGTATTGGACCATTAACTTGGTACATTTACCAACTTTTCGCCGGTATCACCATTTCCATAGTATCGGCCGCAGATTCCTAGCAATTTCTCCGAAGGTTAAACATATCCATCGTTTTTCATCTGTTCCTCCTACTTTCTTTTATAATCTCCATCTTTCCATCTGTTCATCACCATCCGTATATTGCGTTGTATTGCTTTTTCTGAATATAAAAGTCACAAGTGAAGGTAATTCCCTTGACTAATTTTCTGTTTAACCGTTCTGGCATCACTGGTACCTATTTTCTATCCTCTTCTAGTGTTGCATCTCTTTCTCTCAACCCCACTTCATATGACCTGTTTACCTATTCCTACGATTCTATGCTCATTTCCTAAGAGTGTGTCGCTACGTTTTGATTTAATTAGGCGTAATCATCCTCATCCTGATTATAGGTGCCGTTTACAGGGCTTCTTATCTTAATTCAGCCGACCCTTCCACCCCACTTGTCAATTGGGATCAGCCACGACTCCTCTTGGATCAAAGGGCATATGTAAATTTCATGGAAGGCAAGTCCTTATCCCATATCACATTATTTGGTGGGATTGTTGATGAAGCAAACATATTTTTGCTATAACAATCGATTACATTAATTATTTTTCGTATATGGGCAGAGTTTCGAAGCTACCAGTAAATCAGTTATATGAGATGTATTCATCCTATTTCGTTTAAGGGGATGAACGACTGGTAGTAAAACTTTCCCACAATTATATAAGTAGACCTTAAGTTTCAAGTGAATTTCATATAGTTTTGCTTTCCAAAAAGTTGTTTTCATCCAAGGTAGACTAGTTTCGACCTCGCCTAGGACTTATCAACACCCTCAGCGGGCGTCGAACCGTGACAATGCAGCATGTGAGCTTGACACGTTAAACACTAAACCACATTGCCTCGAGTGCCCTTGGGCCACAGGGCAGATGTGAATTTCAAGGAAGACCAGGCCTTATCCCATATTACTCTGTCACGGTTCGACTCCCGCTGAGGGTGTTGATAATACCTAGGCCAGGTTAAAACTACGGTCCATTCTGGATAAAAACACCGTTTAGGGAAGCAAGGTTGTGAAATTCAATGAAAACGCCAGATATGCTCATATCATTGTAGGAAAATTCTACTACCAATCCTTCATCACCTTAAACGAAATATATTAAATACATCTCTTACACGCACACACATTGGTGACCTATATCTTGCCCACCTATACATTTAGGCTTTAATTTCCTATTCTACATTCCACATGTGGACCCCACAGAGTACATTTTTGACCGATTTCAGGTTTGAATCCTCTCTGCAATCGCCTTTTTTGATTTCCCTTTCTCCTTTATGAGACGCTCTTTGGCGATTTTTTCTGTTGTTAATCATTTGTCATAGGTCCAGGCGTCTTTTTTTATGTCTTCGTTGAATCTTCAAGACTGCCCAGACAGTACAAGAAATTATAGCCGACTTTCTTCTAATCTCTTGTTCACCAGGTTTTTTTGGAAGAAGAGGCCCTTAGCCTCTCTGATCTTCCGTTTCCTGGTGTTCTCATATAAGGCTAGTCTTTCCGTTGTACTCCAGCCAATTGTGTAGTATATAAGGGCGATGGGTTCAAATACCTTCGATCTTTGCGTATCCATTTTTTCGCAGCCGTTGCTGTTATTTGATCCTTGTGCTGTTTGTCCTTCCCGTTTCTCCTATTTATTTTTGTTCATAGTCCTTGCAGTTTATGCTATAAACT